GTTTGGGGTTTCTTGGGGGAGCCTTCACTGAATCTTCACTGATCCCCAGTTCTTCTATAGGTGCCTTTAGGACCCCAGATCCTGAAGTTCCCACACCAGGTCAGCCTCCTGAACCTGAGTATGGCCCAAGGGCAGGGCTGAGAGACTCTACACTAACCCTCAGGGCAGGTCCTGCTACTACAGATTGTAGGGGTGTGGTGGTTCCAGCAAACCTTCCCAAGAAGCCTGGTGTTCAGCTCCTCCTGCCAATGCAGCATCTGGAGTTAAGTCCCCAAGGCGTCTCCAGCCCCAACCCCCAAGCCAGAGCCCAGGATCCCTCCGCAGCCTGACTCCAAAGCTCTCCCTGCCACTGCAATCTGACTCCTGAGGCCTTTGTGTGGTTTTTCCGTACCCAAGATCTTTGCTGTCAGACCTGGGTTCCTTGTCCTCTGGGCTACCTTTTCTACATGCAGAATAAATCTTTGGTTTGCACCCCACTGCACCCAGGTGTGGTGACCTACAGAGGCTCTCTAAGCATATTGTTACTTCAAAACTGCCCTGAGGAAGGTAGGCAGGCAAAAGAGGAGGGTGGCATGAAGCATGCATAAATAAGAGCCAGGTGGGAAGGCAGCTGTTTCAGAGCCTGCAAAACCATGCACCAGGATTCACCTTGAGAACTCCACATTTCAGTGGGCAGCTTCCAGGGCACAGAAGACCACATCCGGGGCACACTCATTCTTTATTGGCTCAGAAGCCACTTGACAGAGGAGTTTTTTTCCGAGGTGCTATTTAGGTGTTATTACCAAGATGCTCACTAGATGGCAGCAGAAAATCCTTTCCTGGTGACCTGCACTTAGGTGTTATTTCCAAGATGCGCACTAGATGGCAACAGAGAAGAACTTTTCCTGGCTGTCTCCCCTCAGATGTTATTCCCATGATGAACACCAGAGGGCAGCAGAGAAAAGCATTTTTGGTAACCTCACGTTTTTCTGGAGTTTGTCGCTTACTATATAATAAAGGCATTGAAGCCCTTTGGAGCTGCTCCTGGTCAGAGGACAGTCCCCCTGATCCCTTGACTTTGTCTCTTTCATTCCCACCGCTCGACCTCAGGTTTGTTCGTTTCTCAGGCTGGTTCCTGACAAGCAGACCTGAGGGTCTCTGCCAAGGGCTCTGCCCACACGGAATTAAAATTTAATGAGAATCCAGACCCAATACTAACCTCACGTTGAGATGCAGCCAGTTTTAGGCTCTTCACATTTCTTATCTCACCTACAGTTCTCATTAGCCAGTGAGACAGGGACAATTTTTATCTCTAATTGTTATACCCGTATCTCTATTNGAGGCAGGAACAATTGTTATCTCTAATTATTATTATTGTAAAACAGGTATTTAAACTGATGACTGATTCTAACACACTTCTGAGTCCTGTACTGAGGCCTAAATGGACCAGGATGGGCCAGAAGGACATGCACACGCAGTATTCTGGACAAGTAGTCATGCAAATAGTCCTGGCAGCTTTGGGTTGAACCTTGGTCATTCTATTTGAATAAAATCTACACATTACCTAATGTTCAGCTTGCCATGCACTCACCCAAGCTCTTCTAGGGGGTAGGACTTAGGTAGGCTGCTGGGGGTGGGGG